AAAAAAGTACTTTCGCATTATATTATATTTTTATTTTGGTTACATAATATTTTGGTGATTTTGTATAGTTTTCTTTTTTCTCCTTTTTGGCTTCAAGATTTTCCATTCTTTTTTGTGGTAATTAACATATTTCCATTAATGTAGTGCCAGTTTGATTACATTTATTTTGTTTTCCTGATGGTACACTTTTTCTGTTTTTTTTCATGACTCAGTATCTTTTGTTGAGATTCCTGAAAGGTAAAGTAGCAGGCTTTTGAACATGCTTTCTATAGGAGGACGCTGATAACCATCTGTGGAACAAATTCTACTTTTGGTCAACACTATTTTCTGGATCTCTATTCCTGGTTCGGCTGTCTAATTTCCCAGTTGGAAATGTTCTCTGTTTCTTTCTCAGACCCACTGTATCTTTCAGGCTTGATATATATCTTCAGTATCACATTCTGTGTGGTGCTTGAACAATTTCCCATTGTGTGACAAGCGGCCACAACAGGGCACTCACTGTGTACCGGCATTGTGTTTGCACTCTGTGTCATGCACAACTGAAACTTGTTATTCAAGATGCTTCAAAACAAGCAGATCATTGAACATGTACTTTCCTCATCTCTGTCTCTCCAGCGAAGAAACTGGGAATTGGGAGTGTTTTTATAATATGGCCATCATGTGCCAAAGGGTTTGAGCAGTTTTCATCGGCAAATGTAAGCAACCCTTTGTCCCTCTTTGATGTGAGTTTTCCTCACTTTACCTATCTAGAGCTTTCCTTGAATTCTTCACTACCTCTTGGAGTACTCAAAACTGTCATTTGGCCTATACTTGCTGGTAACTTCAAAGTGCTCTCACCACCTGATTGTCAAAACTGAAAATTTGTTTTCTTTCAGCTATGTCATCTGAAGATGACCATGCCTTTATGCCAAAGACCAGAATACAAGATTTATTCTCTGAATTGATACTGGTAAGATATAAAAGGTGTCGCTTTGATAATGTACACTTAATGAAAGTCTCAGTATTTGAGGAAGAGTGTGATGAGAACAGATGTTATTAGTATAAACAGAACTAATCTGGAACAGTTATCATAAAAAATTGTTGTTACTTGAAGAGGTGAAGTGTATTATGCATTTGGGAAACCTTCCACATTAAAGTCAGTTCCATTGGCAGATCAGTGTGTTTCTGCACGTGCAGGTTGAAAACAGCTTTTAATGTTATGCATTCTTGGAAAGGAAATCTGGATAAAGTAGGAGTTCACATATTCTGTAGTGTATGTAATCATTTGAATTTTTAAAATGTAGGATGGATTAAACTTTCATGCAATAATTTCTAAAATGTAGAGATTCTAAATATATCTATAAAATTTAAATATGCTCAATTGGGCAATCATTATTATTATTACTATCATTATCACTTTTAAATATATTTTTATTGAATTCAGAGATGAAGGGGGAGAGATGGAAACATCAGTGATAAGATCGTATCATTGATTGGATGCCTCCAACATGCCCCCACTGAGGATGGATCCCGCAACCTGTGAATGTGCTCTTGACTAGAAACAAACCCAGGTCCCTTCAGTCTGCTTGCCACTGCTCTATCCACTGACCAAACCAGCTAGTGCTTTTATTATTTATTTTTATTCAAAATATATTTTTTTGAATTCAGAGAGGCAGGGAGATGAAGAGAGATAGGCAAATATCCTTGATGAGAGAGAATCATTGACTGGCTGCCTCCTGCATTCCTCACATTGGGGAGTGATTCCGAACTTGAGGCTTGTGCCCTGATGGGGAATGGAACCGACCTTCTGGTTCAAAAATCAAGACTCAACCATTGAACCATGCTGGCTCGGCAATTTGGCAATCTTTTTTTGCTTGTTGTTAATATATTTTACTGATTTTTTTACAGAGAGGAAGGGAGAGGGATAGAGAGTTAGAAACATTAATGAGAGGGAAACATCTATCAGCTGCCTCTTGCACAACCCCTCCTGAGGATGTGCCCGAAAGCAAGGTACATTCCCTTGAACGGAATTGAACCTGGGACCCTTCAATCTGCAGGCCAACACTCTATCCACTGAGCCAAACAGGTTAGGGCTGGCAATCTTTTAAACAAGGATTCATTCTTTTTCCTCTGACAATGATTATTTTGTATTTAATTTTGTCTATAATTTTAATAAATTAGGAGAGCTTTTGTGTAAAACCATCTTGGTTTAATGAGTATCACAAAATGGTTCTTATGGAACAAGTATACATGTTTAATGAAATTCTGTCAGTAAAGTTCTTTCCATGTCCCATTACTTCCAGAGTACACATAATGGAGACAGTTGTGATCAATGGAATGAAAATCGGAAAAAATTTAAGCAAGTCTTATATCTTAATCATTGGAGAAGCGAGTTTGCAGATGAGCATTATAAAATTGGAAGAGTCTGTGACCCAAGGTGCAATCACAAAATACGTGAGGTTATTCCTATTGTGGAGATGACACACAAAGGAAATAAATGTGTCCAGTCTTTTCAACCGTCTACAAATTACACTGAACAAGAGAATATTCATCCTGGGGAGAAAGCTTACAAATGGAATTCTCGTGGTATAATTTCCAGTCAAATATTCAAGACAAATAACGTGAAAAAAATCCATAGTGGAAAAAAATCTTATAAATGTAGAGAATGTGATAAAGAATTCCTTCACGCCTCAAATCTGAATCGACATTGTCAAATTCATAATGGAGAGAAACGTTACAATTGTAGAGAATGTGGCAAGGCCTTTAGATGGTTCTCACACTTTACTACGCATCAGAGAGTTCATACTGGAGAGAAGCCTTACAAATGTAGAGAATGTGGCAAAGCTTTTAGCGATTTTTACTGTCTTAATACACATCAGAGAGTTCATACAGGAGAGAAACCTTATAAATGTGGAGAATGTGGCAAATCCTTTAGCCAGTCTTCATCCTTTACTTATCATCAGAGAGGTCACACGGGAGAGAAGCCTTACATATGTAGAGAATGTGGCAAAGCTTTTAGCGATTTTTCCTCTCTTAATTCACATCAGAGAGTTCATACAGGAGAGAAACCTTATAAATGTAGAGAATGTGGCAAAACCTTTAGCCATTCTTCATCGCTTACTTGTCATCAGAGAGGTCACACGGGAGAGAAACCTTATAAATGTATAGAATGTGGCAAATCCTTTGTCAGCTCCTCAGTCCTTACTATACATCAGAGAGTTCATTCTGGAGAGAAGCCTTATAAATGTAGAGAATGTGGCAAATCCTTTGTCAGCTCCTCACACCTTGCTTCACATCAGAGAGTTCACAGAGGAGAGAAGTCTTATAAATGTAGAGAATGTGGTAGAGGATTTTCGCACACCTCAAGCCTGAATGAACATCGTCAAATTCATAATGGAGAGAAACATTACAAATGTAGCGAATGTGGCAAAACCTTTAGACGGTTCTCACACCTTACTAGGCATCAGAGAGTTCATACTGGAGAGAAGCCTTATATATGTGGAGAATGTGGCAAAGCTTTTAGCGATTACTCCTACCTTAATATACATCAGAGAATTCATACAGGGGAGAAACCTTATAAATGTAGAGTATGTGACAAAGCCTTTAGTCATTCCTCCTCTCTTAATAGACATCAGAGAGTTCATTCTGGAGAGAAGCCTTATAAATGTAGAGAATGTGGTACATCCTTTATCAGCTACGCAAGTCTTACTAATCATCTAAGTGTTCATACTTAAGATAGGCCTTATAAGTGTAGAGAATGTGGTAAAGGATTCCTTGACGCATCAAACCTGAATGGACATCGGAAAATTCATAATGGAGAGAAACATTACAAATGTAAAGAATGTAACAGCCATTTATCAATGTTCATGCCTTACAGTACAGCAGAGAGTTCAAACTTCATAGAAGTCTTACAGATGTGAGGAGGGTTGTAAGTCCTTGACCAGCTGTGAGAACTTACTGAACATCACCGAATTCATACTGGAAGGAATCCTTATGAATGTGAAAAATGTAAAAAGCCTTTAATAGCCATTCGGATATTACTGTACTTGGAGACTTCATTACAAAAAGATACCTTACAAATGTAGAGAATGGGTTGGAGCCTTTATCCAAAGCTCAAAATTTACTGAACATCAGAGATTATTTAGTGGATGAAAGTCTTAGACTGTGAAAAAAAATGTGAGAAAACCCTTAACCTGTGGTTAAACGTAACATCTTAGGCATCATTCTAAAGAGAAAGAGCAATAATATAAAGTATATGGCCAAAGATTGAACCATGGTTGAAGCTTCACTGAGAATGATAAAATTATTTCCTGAAAAATTTGAGGCATATGTCAAAGTGTTTATCTCCATGTATATGTCATACTACATCTCATAATTATTACTGGATAGAAACCCAGCAGATATAAAGAATGTGACAAAGCTTACTCAGAATGCAAACCTTACTTGAACTCATACTGGGCAGAAACAATACAAATGTAAAATGTTGGGGGCCAGATGTAAGCTGGCAAGGTCCTTGCACCTGAAGGGGCTAGCAAGGCTGGGACCCTTACCTACACAGTTTTCCCAGACTTGTTTGGATGGCGATTATCAGTAGAATAAGAGCAACCTTTGTAGAATGACAACAGCCTTTCATGGCTTACCAAGAAGTCTGTTACTATTTACTGAGATATGCTGTACTGAGAACTTGTCCTTCTATTTTGTCCCTCCCTTAGAGATTAAGAGGAACAAAGAATACATTCCTCTTGACAGACCTCCTATTCAGTGTGTTGTGTATAAATGGGATTGTGTTGCTAATAAAGTTGCTTCAGTTCCTCGAGAGCTGTAGTCCTCCCGACCCCCCTTTCCTGTCTTTCTTTCTTTTCTCAATTCCCACCTCCCTGTCTCAGCCCGGCTCAACCTGTCAGGCTGGTCCTGACAGTAAACAATGTCCTAAAGTTTTCAGTCAGCATCCGTAGCTTATTCCTCACATTGGAATTCATTCTAGAGGGAAACCGTGAATCTGAAGTATCTGGGAAATCATATAGTTGGACCTACAGTCTCACTCAATATTAGGGATTGTAATCGTGTAATTCTACATTCATGATATAGGAGAGAGGACTTTTGTTCAAACTGTACAGTTTACAAATTTCCAAGGAATTTGTGCCTTAAAGTGACTTTAAAGATGTAAAAACTTGATCGAAATATGTAATTGATTATGAATTTTAAAGTATCACTGAATTCACACTAGATAGGTCACCATAATGCCTTTCAGGTATTGCCCTAAATCAGAATGTTTATTACATAGTGTCCTCCAAACTTTAAATGTAGTTCGCTAATATTTTGTATGTTTGACCATATCAAAAGAAGTGATGTTTCCATATGTACAGTTTCTTAGAGTGTTGCCTATTTTATATCGAAATCAATTGGAGTATTTTGAAATGGAAGTAATGTGATTCTACTCCCATATCACTTGATGCTGTTATGTTTTATTCCTAATGTTTGTGGGTGAAATCATGGGGTTGATTGTTTCAGCCTTAAAGATCTGTGAGCTGTTGAATATTATATGGACTTCACTTGTGTACACTTTCCCATGGAATATTGGATACATTGTAAGGCGCACTATTTTCTTCTTTTAGAGAACTAGAGGCCCAGTGCACTTGCACAGGTAGGGTCTTTATGCCTGGCAGATGATCAGGGCCGATCAGGTTCCCCCGCCTCCCCACCTCCCCAGCTCCTTCTTCCCTCCCCACCTGCGGCCACTGCCACTGGTCGCCTGCCATGTTCCGTGCTACCCCCTTGTAGTAAGCGCACGTCATAGCAAGCGATCTGCTGGTCTCCCGGTGGGTCTCCTGAGGGGACAGTTTGCATATTAGCCTTTAATAATATAGGATAACACTATTCAAAGAATCTTTTACAATACTTCTCTAGGTTTGTAAATGATATCAAAGTTACTTCGTTTTCGGTGCCAGTGTAATCAACTGAAAACTTTTTGAGGGCATGTGAGCTTGTAACATTTATGGGACTGGAACTATACTCACGACAGTGCTGTCTGTGTAATAGATTTTCCATAATTAAGAGGAATATTGCAATAGCAGTGACATTGTTGTACCCAGGATTCCGAATTGGCAAGAACTCTGCATGTCGAGAGAGGACACCTTTCCCAGTCTGTACTGCTAGCTGAACTCAGAAAAATTAATTCTATTTCTTTCCTTTCCTATTTCCTCTTCCTCTCTGGGTTTTCACTTTGTCTTCTAGGCTGCCATTCTTTTTGCAATGCTGTAACCATAGCATGTAAAGCTCTTCCTGTCCCACATCAGCCTTTCTAGCCCTTGTAGCTTCCACTCAATAGTTTGGAATTTATAATGCAAGGACTGACATCAGAATTTGGTGAATATTTTGCTTTATTTTCATGACGTAGGTAGCCCACCATTTGGGTTGTCATGCTGACACCTATAGTTTTTAATATGAACATGAAGTTTTTGGAAGACCATAAATTGGCATCTTTGTACTTGATAATTGGAATATTTCTTGTCCTGATTTTAATTGGAAACCTTAAGAATTTCTCAGTGTTACCTCATGAAGTTCTTTATTGGGATGGAATTTACCCAAGTTAAACAGGTTTCATTCTCACTTGTATATGTATCTGTGTGTGTGTATCTACACTAACAAAAGACAAAGATGCTAATTGACTGTGCCTTCGCTATGCCCACTAATGAGAAGAGTATGCAAATTAACCCAAGGAGGATGGCTAGTAAATTTGCATACTACAAGTGGGGCGGGCAGCGCCCGATGCCACCCGTGGGATCGGGGGTGCAGATTGGGGCCTGGCCAGGGGCAGAGCTGGCAATCACATAGGGCTTGGGATTCCCTGCCCAGGCCTAACACCCGGCCTGAGGCCTTAGGCCTGGGCAGGGGCTGTAGCTCAGGTCTTCTCCCTGCTGGCAAGTGGACATCCCCCGAGGGCTGTTGGGCTGCCAGAGGGATGTATGATTGCCAGCTTAGGCCCATTCCCGGGAGGAGTAGGCCTAAGCCAGCAGGTGGTTATCCCCTGAGGGGTCCCAGACAGCGAGAGGGCACAGGCCGGGCTGAGGGACCCCCGTGCCCCCCAAGTGCACAAATTTAGTATATATTTTTTTTTGTTACAGGGGTGGGCAAACTTTTTGACTCGAGGGCCACAATGGTTTCTTAAACTGGACCGGAGGGCCGGAACAAAAGCATGGATGGAGTGTTTGTGTGAACTAATATAAATTCAAAGTAAACATCATTACATAAAAGGGTACGGTCTTTTTTTTTTTAGTTTTATTCATTTCAAACAGGCCGGATCCGGCCCGCGGGCCGTAGTTTGCCCACGGCTGATGTAGCCTAATGTTGGTCATTCTTTCTAGAGGAAATCCAGAGAACGTGGCAGCTTTCAGTTGAAACCTTTTATTATTTCGGATGCAAAGTTATATTGTATACTAGTAGCCCAATGCATGAAATTCGTGTACATTAAAAGGGAATTAATTGCCCTAACCGGTTTGACTCAGTGGATCGATCATCGGCCTGTGGACTCAAGGGTCCCTGGTTTGATTCCAGTCAAGGTCATGTACATTGGTTGCGCACACATCCCCAGTGGGGAGTGTGCAGGAGGCAGCTGATCTATGTTTCTCTCTCATCGATGTTTCTAACTCTCTATCCCTCTCCCTTCCTCTCTGTAGAAAATCAATAAAATATATTTAAAAAAGAAAGAGTATTTTCATTTCTCAATCCATAAATGTGGAAAACCATGAGCAGCAGAGCTCGGAATGAAGATTGGACTCCGTGCAGCTTTAAGCTATGCTCTGTCTCCCTCACCTCCCAGGCCTCTCCACTCCCCTCCTTTCCAGTCTCTTACGCTCCCACATTTAAAACCTGTAGACAGGAAACCAGCTCAAAACCAGCACATGTTCAGGACCGAATGGAGTGGCTTCTCGTGTAAGTTCCTTTTGCCGGAACGGATGCAGAGGAATAAGTGTTTACAGGTTCCGACCCTGATCCCTGCTAAATGTAGCACTTTTTGGTTTTCTTAATGAAGCTAAAGCAGGGGTAGGTTTCTTAAAACTGCACAGACATGCAAGGGTTTTTTT